TCTAAGGTCCTCAAAGTTTCAGATCAATTATAAGTCATTCTTGGACTTAGAAAATTTTGGCTTATAACTATAGGTCATGACCTTAACTTTACATCCATGTAAATTTCAAATCCGACCTCCAAATTCTTTGTTTCATTTTTCATTGTTTTCTATTCAATGAGATGATCATTTAGCAAAAGTAAGTTCAGATAATGGTTCGAGTGTAAAAATTTTACCACGAGCTTGAAGATAGCTGCAGAAAAATGTTTTTTAACCATGAACCAAAATTAGAAATGTACCAAAAATCAAATGGGATCACCTGAGTCATGTGCAAAATTATCCCAAATGGTAAAACACAACTTAGCACAACTTGAAATGAGTTGAAAATGCAAAGGATCACACATTCCATGCTTCATTTTCACACACTTGGATCAAGAAATTTTCACCTTCCACTCACACGCTTGGGATATTCTTTTCACACAAACCATGACCTGAATCATCCTCCTTATAAATATAGACTCTTGATATCTTTGTTCAACAGAACCTTGTCTTTAGAGTTTTCAGAAGTTGATCTAGAGAACCGTTGGTCTTTAAAATCTTCAGAATTTGTTCAACAAAACCTTATCTTTTAGAATCTTCAAAACTCGGGCAAGATAACTTGGAGTCTTCAGAGCTTTAGAACATATCAGAAGCTCTACAACTAAATCACAATTAGAACCAATAAAACTAACGTTCTTTCAGAACTGTTGCTTTAAGACACATTCTAAGCTATAAAACACAAACTTCTATTCTTCAGTGTGTTGAGCCCAGAATCTGATGAGGCCACACATTAATTCTTCAGAGACATAATCTGTTAGCAAAAACTACACACTAAACAAACCATTAGAATATTAAATTATTATCTAATCACCCATGTAATATTATCATCAAAACTCAAGGTCAAATGCAAAATCAAATCTTGTTCTTATAGTTTTTTTCTTTTAAAAATAAATGTTTTTATGGTAATTAGTATTTGTTACTATACTAAAGATGATATTTATAATTCATTAATTACAAAATTTTACTTTTTTTTATTTTACCTGTTATAACGTGAATACAAAATTGTAAGTAATGGATGATGCCCTTTTATTAATATTGGAAATAAAATTCCTCAAAATTTTAGAGATAAATTATATGTAATATAATTTTATTTTTTGCTAATCAATTAAAAAAAGTCATATATATATATATATATATATATATATTATATATATATATATATATATATATATATATATTATATATATATATATATATATATATATATATAATATATATATATATATATATATATATATATATATATATATATATATATATATATATATATATATATATATATATATATATATATATATATATATATATATATATATATATATATATATATATATATATATATATATATATATATATATATTATATATATATATATATATTATATATATATATATATATATATATATATATATATATATAGTATATATATATATATATATAAATATATATTATTGAAACATAATTGTAGCTTAAATCATTTTTTTGATAATAGGAATTAATTAAAAAAAAGTAGGTTAATTGGAAAACTTGGGTATTAGATTTTTTTTGTACGTTGAAGTCATTAAAAATTTAATATTAGTACTTATTATAAATAAATTAAAAATTAATTTTTGAAAACTTGATTGGAGGTTAAATGATTTTTTTGGTAACGAAAAGTTATCAAAATTAATTTAAAACTAATTATTATAATTTTATTATTATTATTATTATTATTATTATTATTATTATTATTATTATTATTATTATTATTATTATTATTATTATTATTATTATTATTATTATTAATTATTATTATTATTATTATTATTATTATTATTATTATTATTATTATTATTATTATTATTATTATTATTATTATTATTATTATTATTATTATTATTATTATTATTATTATTATTATTATTATTATTATTGTCTATTGTTTTAGGTATTATTATTGTCTATTGTTTAGGTATTTAGAAACATGCAGGTTAGCTGAGAAATATCATGTGTAGTTACATAAAAATTGAAATGAGATATATACTGTTTTTTAAAATAAAAATGAAAAGGAGAATTAATTTTATTGATTTTTTTAATAAAAATTTAAGATAATTTATTTTTATATCAAATTTAATTATTAATTAGAAATATTTATTTAATTTTTAAACTTAAATAAATTATTAGTTATAAATGGTTCAAATAAATTAGAAATATTGCATTATAAATGTTCTATGAAATTATATTTCATATTAACAATTATTAGTTATACCTTGGTTCAAATTTGTAAATTTACATAAATAAGTATAATTTAAATTACAATTTTATTTTTACTAATTTGTTCAATTTTAAAAAATTATATTTGACAATGAATTTATTATAAAAAGGATTTAGAATAAACTTTAACTGATTTTTTCAAAAATTAGTTATGTTCAATTTTTCTCATTTAAAAGGCTGCCCCAATTTAGCGGGTTTTAATTATGACAATAAGGCAATTTAATTTATAAATTCAAAATCATATGTATTAATTTAGTAGATTTTAATTATGACAATAAATCAATTTATTTATAAATTAAAAATTTCACGTATTAATGTACATATGATAATATGATATTATTGAAAGATTAATAAATAAATTATTTCTATTAAATTTATTGAATTTTTTTTTAAATATATAAGAAAGATTACGGATGTTTATAATCAGAGAAGAGAGTACATATTTTAAAATTATAAAATACAAG